GAAAACAATTTACAGCATCCTAAGTTTTGCGTATTTACAGCTCAAAATCCACGGATTTGTGTGAGGCGGCGGCGCTCGCAAAATCGCTCTGGTCCCACGCGGCCAAAAACCAAAACGCGCGATGTCGTCAACGTGTTAAACTAATTTTTGCTCAGCATCTGAACAAAATACATCTAGAAAGAATTTGAAGGAGAAAAATGGAAAGCTGATCCGAAGGCGAGTGAAATTGATTAAACGCGCTCTAACCTTTCAAGAAAAATGAATTCCAGAAGCACCTTCTAAGAAAACTTTAAAAAAACATAGCTCCAAGTGGAGATTGCCAGACCAGGGTTCTGCAGTTCGCTGCCTTTTTTTGCGCAGTAAGCAAAAGCGTCGAAGTTGTAAATCCAAAGTGTTCTAATTAAATGAATAAATAAGAATACTCAAGAGTGCATACGCTTCATATTTTTTTTCATCAGTGAACCAGGCGCTAACTTCCTTAATTATTTTTTTTTGACTATTTATAATTTTCAAGATTTTTTCAGTCCATTTTTGTCTTTAAAATTCACAGATCATTTAATTCATGTGCACTCTATTCCCAATGAGATTTATTAGAAAGCTGCAACATGGGCTGTATGAGATTCCATAGGGGCAGGTCCTTGAAAAGACATCTTTTTTACTAGTCACATCTGCATTGATCAACTACTTCCTTCTCCGAAGCTCAACTACATAGCTCTTCTCCGTACCTGGTGATCGCCGAGCATTCCTGAATAGAAATGCTTTCAAGTTCTCGTTGTGTGGAAGCCAGCGTGTACATCATCTCGTCGGTAACCCGGGCACATTTGTTCACTGTCAGCTGGAAGTGCTTTTCATAAATACTATATCTACAAACATTGTTGACATTTTTTGTTTTCTCTCCCCGTCTCCTCCCTCACCTTCTTCAAAGCAGCTCTCTCTTCAGATAATTTGTGGGGACCTTATCTTTTTAAGTACCGGTGAATGGATTTAGTGTGTTCTGGTTCGTATGTCTTAGCAGATGTCACTGGTTTTCTTTCAGGAACGGCTATCATGAAGGGCTATAAACCTAGAATATGTAGGTCGTGAAATTCCTTTGATTGGACTTTCATCTTTCTATTATATGGTTTTGAAATTTTCGCCATTTCCGTGGGTTTCTAGTCAAATGGCAAGGCCATTATGACATTCACCAAGCGAAGAAAAGGTGGTCACGCCACGTGTTTAGAATATCGTACGATATTTCTTAAATTAAAGTACACTACACTGACGTCGAGTTCGCTTCAGAAAAAGTGATCAGAGATTGCAGCATGAAGAGAAAAGCGCACTGGGGTTTCTCGATCACCAGATCAGTTTGGTTTTTCTCGAGTCCGAAATTGAGGTTGCGGATCTTGCTTTGACAGAAAGAGATTTCATGTTCTCAATTGCAAATTGGCGAAGTCTAACCTTCATCATAAATCTGTCAGATGCACTCTTCAAACGTACCTCTTTCAACTGACAGCGCATCAATGCGATGTTAACTCCACGTGATGAGAAGTTGAAGCAGTTTGAAAGTACGAGTCGTTTGAGATTGCCGTATGAGCAGAGGGCGAGTATATCCTCATTAGCCAGTTGCATGGTGTTCCGAATTTCAAGAGATTGAAGTCGTCCGCAGTTGCCAAGAGCCGTGTAATCAAAAACGTTTTTGCAGTTGATCAGCGCAATTCGTTCCAAGTTCTGCATTCGTGACAAAATGAGTTGTAGAGACACCTCAGTCAGACCGAACACATCCTGAACATTTGTTCGTTCACTTCAAAACACCTTTTTTGTACCAGATGTTTTCGGAACATCTGTTCCTAAACAAGTCAACAAAGGCATAAACGTCATCTCATGCTGAAAAAAAAATTCAGTGTGTAAAATTAGCCAGGATTTCATGCCTTCGAAAAGTTTGGATATCAGTTGCGGTATCGAATAAATGCATTAAGCTTGTCGTAAATATTATTTTCTAAGAGCGACCAGAATAAAATATTCGAACATCTGCGGCTGTGACGTTCTCGAACGAGAATTGTGCTGAATCTGCATTGCAGGTATTCTCTTTTTCCAGAGGTGAAACGAAGATCCCATGGCTTTTGTGCCCAAGGTTTTCCGCGTAACAGTTAGCCTGGACGCAAGCAACAGCTGCTGATCATTGGCCTGTGCACTTGCTATTGTGACCAGAGCACATTTGAAGCATTTAACTGCTACAACTCACATTCATTCGAAGTGACTCCAATTTTGTCAGGTTGCTTAAGGCGTCAAAGTGCAGATCGGTGTTGTAGGAATGACCAAGCGAGAGATGTCGCAGATTAGGAAGTGATCCGATAGCGGCGATTATCTCATCATCAAGCACCGGCATCGGAGATGCATGGAACTCTTCGAGCCGATCGTGGTTTTGCAGAAATTCTAGTAGTATTTCGGAAGGGAAAGAGTGGGCGCCTCCGATCTCTAGATATCTGTAAGTGCATTTGTATCATGCGATCGCCCGGTGGCTAGGTATTTGTGAAAAGTGCGAGTGTATTTAATGATGAAACCCTCACTCCAGAGTTGTCGGTAATTCAGCGAGTCTCGTGAGTTGAAACATGGCCGAACGCAGATTGAGCTTCCGCAGTTTCTTCATTGATTTGAAGTAATTTTGCACCTGAAATTTCCACGAAGCTAAGGAACCACGTGACGGTTTCATCAAAAATCGATTCACCTTCTCAGCACATTCAATGTTGACCCAGCTGGTTTCTTCAAGTGAGAATTCCTGCAACTGTGGCGCGATTTTTTCCAACAATGGGCTCAGATCAGCGCTTAGAATCACTGCTCCGAGGTCGACGACACTCAGTTGTTTGCAGTTGCTGCATTGTTCAGATCAATGAGATTCTCTTCTCAAGGAAAAAGCTAATAAAGTCTCACTTGGCAATGCAGTCGATTATAGGCTGTGAAATGCGCAACCATCGTTGACCGAAACTCAGCTGCTGCACATAGGGACCGCATCGTTCGATCACTCCGACAACCGTTGGGAGAAAGCTTAGGCTATCCTCAAAAAGCGATCAATTCGTTCTGTCAATTTCTGCTAATGGTAGTCCTGAAAGAGACCTTAGTTTGGTTACCTGCTGATAGTAGTCTGTGGAAGTGCTAATCAGAAATTCTGAAATGTCCAAGTTTACGCTGTCAGAAAAGGTGGATTGTTGCTAAAGAACACTGAATTAAGCATGATATGGCATCCACTACTCGCAAGCAAAGCATCGCACCTGCAGCACATAGTGGAACATGCGACATACGTGCTCCAGACGAACTCGTTCGATGAAATCGAGATTGAGGAATATTTGTGAGAGACAGTCCCTATTCAGTGTGTCCATGTACAGCAGAAACGGTCGATCTGAATAAGGACGTGGCTGATTTGGGTGCGGTAGTTGCAAATGTTTGCCACCTGTCAAGTCGAAGAAGACTGCGCGAAAATATCGCGAGATGTTGGGATTTTACCGCCACACAGCTTGAAATGTTATTGCTTATATTCTGTTCTATTGTGCGTTGCTGGTGACGTCTTCGAAGCGTTCACAATGACTAAGGGGAAATGGCTGTTAGAAAGGTTAATGGCGTGGTCGCAGAGTATGATGCTCAGAATTTGGGCAAGAGAACAGAAAAGAATATGCGGCAATAGTTGCTCACTGATAGGCAAATGATTTGAATCGAGGAAATGACAAAATATATGGTAATTTCTAAAAAATGCATAGCGTTAGGGTCTTGACTGAGGAACTCCTAGCGAATCAAACTCTCTATTAATTCCTTCTTCTTGCGTAAATTATGAAAATTTCATTCCAAGAAGTAGAATGTGTTTATGGGAGCTTTGAGTATGTACCTCCCTTGTATGAGTATCACCGTACCGGTAACCATATCGCTATGTGCTCGAGCGAGTTATTTTTTCTAGAGATCGAAAACTTGTTCTGAATATTCTCCAGCCTACCTTGAGCTTTTCGAAAGCAGTAAGGTTAGTGAAATCGGGTATAGGTTAGAACGACTTTTTTATTTCAAAATAACTCCATCAGATTCGACTTTTATCAGCTGCATCGCAGTATTCTGCATAAATCGTAACCCCTACGAGCCGGCTAAGATTTGTCGGTCGGGGTCGATCAAATATTGTTCAAAAATTCCAAGTGAGAGTTGGATGCATGGCTCATCCCAAATAATCCAAATAGGATGTATAATTTTCAGATAATTTTGCTTGTAATCGAATTGAATAACAGTTTATTTCATTTATAACATGCAAGACGCATTTTCGTCCTCTTCGGGCCATCGCTCTGTTTTTATACATTTCACTGAATAGGTAAAAAAAAGTGAGCAGTTTGACATTGAACAACAGCAGTAGCGAGAAATTCGGCCAACAATGTGCTATGTGGTGAAAAACGGATAAGTGAGCAAGGATAATGAAGTAGAAAGTGTCTTCACTAGGATTTTTCATGACTAGCCTCTAGAACACTAGCAATTTATTACAGTACTTATGTAGTGATAGGATGAATATTGCGGTCGAGAGTGATAATTATGTTGGTCAGATGGAGCGCCGCGCATGATGGAGGATACGGGCGCGCGGCTCGGGATCAAACAG